CCTGAACCATGAACACTGAAGGAATCCTAACCGGGAGAAGCTGACTGCAATGACGCCAATGGTGGTGAAGACAACAACTCCCATGATCCCATGCTGCTTCACATCATCATACATCTTTAGTTATTTTTTTGATGTGAGAGACCCCGTAGCAGCCGAAATGATATATTGAACTTTACATTTTCTGATAGTAATGAGTTTCAATATAGCACTTTTACTTGTAACAGAAATAAATTGTGGTATTAGCACTTTACCCATCAATGACTGAACCTTTAACATACTTAGTATCTGCGTATTTGAGCTGTCTGCTACTTTATACTTGTACTACATTTATGTGACAGCTTACTTTACACTCTTATAACAGTGTTCGTAAAAAATATTAAATTATGTTTGTCAGAACCTTCAAAATAATGGATGATGACAACAACCGCTCCCTGGACCTGAAGGAGTTTCTGAAGGGTCTGAATGACTACGGGATCCTGATTGAGAAACAAGAGGCCACGGCTCTCTTTCAGCACTTTGATCGTGATGGGAGTGGGACCATCGACTTCGATGAGTTCCTCATCACTCTGAGGGTAAATACACAGACAGGTTGCTGTAGGGCCGAGGATTGCTTCATGTTTGTTAACTTCAGTGATCTGTAAACTGCAGCCACAGATGTCTAAGGCCCGGAAGGAGGTGGTCATGCAGGCGTTTCGGAAGCTGGATAAGACAGGTGATGGAGTGATCACCGTTGAAGACCTGAGGGGGGTTTATAACCCCAAGTACCATCCCAAGTATCAGAACGGGGAATGGACAGAGGATCAAGTCTTCAGGAAATTCTTGGACAGCTTTGATTCTCCGTATGACAAAGATGGAAAGGTAATTAATACTCTGTGTTTGTCTGACATGCAGCTCAGAGCTTTTTATCTGGTACTTTAAATGGGCAGTTTACCACAAAACCAAAAAATTTATTCTTTGTCTTACTCGTGGTGCTATTTACTAGAGCTGTCGTCTAATAGTCGACTAAATACCAATACTCAAAAAATGTGTACATTATTGCTTCGGCTGAGATGTAACGTTAGCTAGCTCACTTAAGTAACTTCCTCCTTCAAAACAAAACCATTGATGAAGCATATTTGTTTCAAAAATCATCTAGAGCAGGTACAATGTCACTTGCCTGGCTGCTAAAACATATCTCATTGGCTCTCTTATTTGGACTCTTATTTTGAAAACTCAGATTTTAACTCCAACCTCTTTGGACTCGACTAGTCCTGGTCTTAGACTCGATAAAGGTGGTTTGACTATAGCACTGTCTCTATGGATAAAATATATCCACAACTCAGCCACTCACACCAAAACAATCAAGATGGATAAATAGCTCTACAGGTAAGATTATGTGTACAAGAATATGTATTTCTGATCTTAGGGTGGACTGTCCCTTTAAGAGCTAAGTTTCTGTGTCTGAAGGACAATAAATGTCTCTCTGTTAGAAAACATTTACAAAGAAGTTGTAAGTTGATATAAATGTATATTCATGCTGGTATTACTCTCTGAAGGTGACCCAGGAGGAATTTATGAATTATTATGCTGGTGTGAGTGCTTCCATCGATACTGATGTCTACTTTATTGTGATGATGAGAAATGCCTGGAAACTCTGACTTAGCGTCATTCTGGTAAACAAGTTCATCGTTCGGGTGGTGGGAGGAGGGCGACAGCGGCAGAGGTTTCCATCTCACTGTTTGCATTTTCCTCACAGAGTGCTCACTGGTTCCTCTGGAAGTATTCTGCAGGGTATACTGTATGGTTTCTATTTCTAAAATATACCACAAAGAAAAGAATATCACATATTTGATATGTGAAATTAAACTAACATTTGGACTCCATGAACCATACAAGATACCAACGTCAGTAGGACAGTTTGGTGGATTTGAAGTTTCTCTCAGTTCAGGGACTTTACATGTAGCAGGTTGATGGACACTATTATAACACATATCATCCTTTTCTATTTCACTTTCTCCGGCACTAACACACTCCTCCCTCGCTGTTTCCATCCAAATATCCTTTCATTGCTGTAATAGATCTGTTTCTGAAGAACTGTTTTTAGACTTTTTGTTTAATTCCACAATAAGTGAAATTCATATTGACAGATATTTATCACAGACATGCAGTTTCTGTAGAAAGTTAAACAGTACAGAATCAGTTTTGTTACCAATTAGCTTAGATTGACTCATTACTTTTTCCAAATTAGAGGTGGTGGCTGATCAATGTACACAACGTCTGTTGTACGTTAATTTGGATGGAAACCAGCTGCTGTCTGATTAATATTCTGACCTCCTTTCTCTACATTTTTACTTGATAGTATAACTCTTAACTCACACTTTCATCTGATTCCCTCCATCATCATGTTGTAAAATCAGTAAAAACTTTCCTCTGATCAACAGGTGACCAAAGAGGAGTTTGTCAACTATTACTGTGGAGTCAGCGCCTCCATTGACAGCGATGTCTACTTTATTCTTATGATGAAAAACGCCTGGAAGCTCTGAATCTAAATCAAAGGACACAAACTCCAAACTATCATTTCCTGTGCTGAAAAGACACCACATAACATTTCAACAATCAGGATGCATTTATAATAAATTACCAGCATGTTGTGTGAAGTTGATAAGATCTAGCTCTTTGCTACCAGCTGTAATTCATTCTGTGCTTTTATGAGTCAGAAAATAATTTCTCTAAATGTAGTAAGTATCACGTAGTTTATAGACTGACTGTTATCATTTTTAATTAAAAGTTGAATATTATCTCAATGTAAATGTGTTGTATTGTAGGGGAACACAATGCAGCAGTATGTTTTTATAACAATTCTTTCTTTTTTTATTGTACGTTAATACAAAACACCATAGGCTTTCTTTAAATAAAAAACATTGGTTAGACAAGTACAGACATTTTCATATAGTATTTACAGTATATTTTGGACAGTTGAGTGAAATAATACAATCAGATTTCTTGAAGACAAAGCGTACATTCTGTGTATTTCTTTCAGCTGTTGCCATGAGGAAACATGAGGTGTAAGTTGTGTCAGATATATTTAGAAGCAGCATTGTGTGTTTGACGTCTCCACTAACAGAAAGAGTCGGTCAGGTTGCTGCAGCAACGCTATGATCATAATGACTGTGGTTCAGTGCTGCTGGTCTGAGGAATGTGGACTGAGTGCTTTTGAACAATGAGGAGAGCCTGTCCCACAGCAGGATATTAGTTATTTAACAGTTTAAGTGCAGATATGAGCAGCTTTCTTTTAAAGGACCTCACTGGTGTTTTTGTATGTTTGAAGAAGAATTAAGAATTGTAGTAAATCTTTATACAGACAGGTGACAAATTAAAGGGAAAACCTGAATATATTAAACACACTGAATGTACGTTTCCATACAGGACACGAGAGGATCTAGGTGTCCATTCAGTGATTCTAGATCGCTAGGTAGTTGTTGTGTTGTGGTTGTATAAATCATTTAAGGGGTTCTAGTGGTCAATTAGGAGATACTAGGGATAATTTAGGTGGTCCTAGTTGTTAGTTGTGAGATCTTTAAGGTGGTTCTAGTGGTCATTTAAGAGGTTCTAGTACTTATTGGGTTGTTCTTGTGGTTATTAAGGGATTCTGGTTGACATTTAGGAGGTTCTACTCATCCTTTTGGTTTGTTCTGTGGTTGTTATGGTGCTTTATGCGATACTGCTGGTCATTTGGAGGTTACACAGATTTCTTTAGGTAGTTTTGAGTTTCATGAGGGGGTTCTAAAGATCCTTTGGGCGGTTGAACAACTATTCTGGAGTGGTGCATTAGATAGCACTCTCCACCACCATCATTGACACCAAACGAGATAATATCTTTCAGAAGAATGGAGTTTATCCTTCAAGTTCTAGATACTTAAAAGATCTATTAACGGAGAACTGAAGCAGTTTTGGAAACTTGTGGTGGACAAACACCTCACTAACACACTTTAGATTAAGATTTAGAGATTTGTCACCCATCTGTATTAATCCAAAGCAAAATGGAAGTTCAGGCAGCCAACAGAATCTATGGTTTGAAACTTAAAGGACTTTCTTGAAATATGTAACTCAATATAGTGAACACCAAGCCCAGCTAAAAAATAAACTGATCCTTTAACCAGTTCTGGGCTGTAGTATGTTCTGGAAGTGGTATTCTGTGATTTGTAGTAAAACATACAGAAACACTGGTACAGGCTTCTAAGGTTCCTCTAACAACCATCTCTGGACAAGCAGATGACTGTAGGAGGTATGTCAGTATAAAATGTAGACGATATTATAAACATATATTTGATATAATCATACGGCATCAAAACAACAAAATACATAAAAGCTACATTTAAATACCTCTGGGTTAATAGGCAACATTTATAAAACTGCTACAAGTTACATGTTGGAGTCAAGTGAAAGAGAAAAGTAAAAAAATCCTTCACTTTTACTCGCAAATGTAATAATAAAAGCTATTTATCAAATTTCTGCTGCATAGACTTTGACCATTCTTTTTAAAAACTCTATCACAAGTTGGTCAACATAAAGGAAGTGACCCCTTAAATTGCTACTGGAGATATTAAGGTGGTCATTTAAAATTAACTTTAAAAAAATAACACACTTAAAACATACCGGCTCTGTGGCGAATTGAGGGTTGTCGCTAGCACAGACAGGAAGTGCCACGCTGCAGACATTAACAACAGCAGGTGGCAGTCTTCTCATTTAGCGGGATGAAACCTGAACCTTTTCAACTGTGAAAGCCACCTTTCTGGTTTTTTTTCTACTATTGATTGTACCATACAAAATGTCTACCTAGACATTTAAACTCACTTGAAGAGCCAATCTCCAGAGCTCTGGTTCGACAGGTTTTGTCTTTTTTGCCATTATAATGAATCATTTTAGGCACAGTGATGCTAGAAATAGGACAGTGGTCATGAAACAACACAGGGCTCCATGATGTGGAGGTTAAAGACAGAAAATAGTAGGGGCAGTTGACATACGTCGTTTGACACCGGTGTGTTTTAGCCTTGACAAATTATGCAATGTAAATCTTTGTCTATAATTGGCTGTTCATGTTCTGATTGTGCATGTGATAAATCCTTTGGTCACTTCTTCTCATATGTAAGAGTAAGTCTCTTGATAAATGTGTCTTATACTTCACTTTTAGAGAAGAACATTTTTTAATCCTCAGTAAGTTCTTTAGGTCAATGGTCCCAACCTTTTTTTCCAAATTGAGCAATATTCATTTGTAATCACTGATCACAGGTTATGGTCCTGGTGTGAATTTGACCTGTGAGCAGTTCAACTAAAAACTGATTATTTTCCCCCTCTGAGATTGTTTGTTTTGAAAGATATTTAAAGGCCTGAAAGGGTGGAAATGTCCAGCATTGTACAGCCATGCTAGCATCTCTGTAAGACTGTACTAGACACAGTGGTGCTTTGAGCTAAATGCAAAGCAAAAGTTGAGATATTTCAGTATGGACTAAATTGGTGGACTAATCATTTTGTGGCCCCTCAGATTTTAATTTATTATTATGACTTCCAGGTTGGGAACCACTGATTTTGAGCATCCTGAAGTGTAATTCTCAGAAGTTTGATAAAGATCCTGGTCCTATATTCCTACCTCCTCCTGATCTACTTGATCTGATAGAAACTGGACATGGTGACATAGGCCTCCTCCTGCTGGCTCACTCCAAACACCTCAGCCTCATTTCCTTCACTGCTGCATGCACGCTGAGGTGCGTGAGGTGTCTCTCCAAACTGGAGATCGTTGATGGGGGATGGACTGGTGCTCTGGAGGCTGTCTTCTCCATCTGAGGAGCTTCTGCTCAGCAGGGCAGACAACTCCAGCTCCTCTGTGCTGACACTGGTGGTGCTCCTGGAGCAGTCAGAGCTTTGTGTGGAGCAGGCATGATTCGACTGTGTGCTTTCAGCAGCAGGAGCACTAGCAGCAATTGAAGGCTCTGTTTCGTCACATGGCTGCTCCTCAGTTTTCTCCATTGGGTAAACTTTAAGGGCACTGAACACCTCAGGTTTAAAGTTCAATAGGAGACCCTGCAAAAACAGGAAAATGGAATAGGCAATGAATAATTACCACTAAACAGTGGTTAAAGTTTGGTTGGTTTAGGCACAAAAACAACTTTGTCATGCTTACAAGTACTGAGTACTTGTTTGAGGCCCGGTCACAACAGCATTTTAAATACCAAACAATCGTGGTGAAATAAATCAATTTCAGTGGAATCACTGAGATGAGCTGAAGTTCTTTTAGGTGGTCTTATAGGTAGTTTAGGAGGTATTTGAAGAAGATCTAGTAGGCGTTTGGAGTGGTGGTTCTAGCGACCACTGAGAAGGTTTTAAAGGTTCTATAGGTGGTGGCTGTTGTCCTTTAGATGGTTCAATTAGTAATTGAGGTAATACTAGAAATCATTTAGGGTGTTCTCATTGATTGTATGGATTTGTTGGGTGGTTCCAGTGGTCCTTTATTAGGTCCTTGTTTACTTGAATAGCTGCAGCTCAGGAACTACTATCTAATGTCTACTACTAGGAACAAGATCCACGGGTCACCTGGGCTACCAGAGAACTAGGATCAAGTGCTCTTCTAACCGCTGACAGGGAACCACACAAGACTGTTGGCAGCTCAGTGCCACTGGGCAGCAAAGAGGCTGAGATGGTGGGCAGCTGAGGCTCTGGGACACTTGGGGGGGATGAGCCGACCAATAGCTTCGGAAGCCATGACAATCATGTTTCCTTCTATGGCCTGTGAGCTGCCTGTCTATACTCTTTACTAGGTGCCCTCCTCCAACAAACTTGGATGCACAACAGGCTCCATGGCTGGCCAGTTCGTACTGTCACAATAGTCCAAGTAGCAGTAGCAGGAATACAGGAGAAGGAACCAAATGCAGACTCAGAGGAGGTGCTTGATGAAGTTCAGTGATTTCATGACAGTCATTACAAAAAGGCGTATTGGATAGTCAGGCAAGCACAGGTCAAAACCAGATAAAGTATCCAATACAGGCAAACAAATCCAACAGAGCAGGCAAAAATCCATAAAGAAAGTAAATAAATACGTGAGGTCCAAGAAAACAAACTAAAAGTCCAAACACTGGAAACACTAGGTAAAAGGCTAGGATTATTTACTGATGAACAAATGCTAACTGGCACTGAGAAAAAGGAACACTGAAACTAAATTGAGCATAGCGTTAGTTCAGGCAGGCCACAAAGTCAGGCTCGGTTCTCAATTCCAGCTATATCATATGATCACAGCTAGTGGTAAACACACATCAGCTGATGG